TCAGCCCGTGGAAGACAGCAGGTTGCGCAGTGCTGGGCTGGACATCTGGGACCACATTTCAGCGAGACCTGAGGAGGTATTGCAAGAAAGAGCGGGGGCTCAAGTTCGACAGCAGCGGCATACGAAGCCGTTCGGACGGGTCCTGGGTGGACTTGGAAAGCGGCGCTGATGGCCAGCCGGCGCCAGATATGCTCACCGCCGAGCGTCGTGTCTTTGCTGGCCTGGGCCTGGAATGGCGTCCGCCGGAAGAACGATGTACGAATTGAGTTTTCCAGACTCTAAACCCGCCAGCCTGGAAACCAATCAGCGCGTCAGCAACCAGACGATGCCGATGGTGCAATTGTTTGGGGGGGGTATCGTGATCCTTCCAAACAGCCGTTTGTTCGCTGAAGCGACAGCGCCCAAGTCCACTAATACCCGCCTAAAGATCCCTGTGCTGACTGCCGCCGCCCGCCTGCAAGTCATGACCTATCCATGAACATAAGCATTTGGCATGCAGCTCCTCCCGCAAAGGGTTTCGGACTTTATTTTCACTATCCTTGCCCCTGAATCGCCATTCTTTAATATCCGAAGACCGAAGCTCAAGAAATTCCACGATGCATTGTTCGCGTGTCACAAGCTGTTGTATACCCAAGAGATGCGCCGTCAGATGCCAGCCTGGCCAAAGTACTGCTGTACGACTACACCAAATTAGTTCAAGGGTCGCGCACACGGGCTTTTTCTTGCCACTTTTTTTCTGCATGGGCCGTCGGACAGATTGATCTCTCCGCACTTGCACCTCATTGGACGACAGGAGCACAAGAGCGGACATCGACTCCGTTCCCGTCCCAAGTTGTTGACGCGTAGATTAGGGGAGAAGGCCAAAGAAGATGTCGTGGCACTTCCCTTTAACCTTGGGATATACCCATACCTTTGAGATAACCAACAACCCAAGCAAGCAACTTGAAACCAACCAATAACCCATTCATCAATTGCGAATCGTACTTGAATCTTCTACATTACGCATACGCAAACTCAATTGTTGTCATATTTTCCAAGGGAAAATCACTGCTTCAAAATGGCTGCTGTCACCGTCCCCGCCGAGTATGGGTGAGTTTGACCAGTGCTCAAGCTTGCAGATGATGATGAAGATGAAGGACGACGATGATGATGACCGATTCTGACATCTGCCATTTAGCTATGTCCTCCTCGCCACCGTCTCCACCTTCTTCGTGAATACGTACCACGTGGTGCTCACGAGCAAGCACCGCAAGGCGTCGGGCATCAAATATCCCGTCACCTATGCCACTGAGGAGCAGGCAGCCAAGGACCCCAAGGCCTTTGCCTTCAACTGCGGTACTTATTTACAACTCTCGTCAACCGTTTCTTGTTTGGTAAGACCACACGCACTGACAAATACAAACACAAACCGCAGCCCAGCGAGCGCACGCCAACTTCACCGAGACCCTGACCCCCGCCGTGGGAGCCATCCTCATCGCCGGCTTGCGCTTCCCCCTGGCCGCCGCCGGTCTCGGCGCCGTCTGGTCCGTCGCGCGTGCGGCTTATGCTAGCGGCTATGCGGCCTACGGGCCGCAGGCGAGACAAAAGTATGTTTTGTTTTTGTATAAAAAAACCCCCTTCCCATTCACCTCACGAGGTAGCATGTACTATGTAAATGGTCATGGTTTGCTAATCAAGAAAAACAAAAGGGGTGGTATCCCTTCCACGATTGCGCTGTTCTCGCTCTACCTGACGGCGGCGTACTCGGCTATCTCCTTCGTGCTGGAGAAGTAAGTACAGCGAGGGGAGACTGAGGAGAGGGAACATGTAAAGAGGGCAGGGAACGAGAGAGGTGGAATGTAAGCTAGGTAGGCATGTAGTCTCTGTATAAATGTCTATATATTCTCCTCTTAACTCTTCGGGTACTATTTGCGTTGAAGTGTGGCTTTTGGCACAAATTCTATGATATGTAGTTTAATATAGGTGGCAATTACCTTAACCCTTACGAAGACAGCCCATATCTCGGCCCACCCCTCGTGGCTGACTCTGCTTTGCCTTGTATCAGAGCCGCCCTCGACATGGCTGCAATTTCGAGCGCCTGAGGGTCAGCCTTGGGGCTATACAGGGCGTGCGTCACCGTCGTCGGCGTCTCCTTGCCCCCCCAGTTTACGGTTTGGCTCCAACCAACTGTCGCCGTAGCCGTACACGGCTTCTCGCCGTCCATTGCTGTTGCCGCAGCTGTTTTTTTTTTTCTGCTCCAGCACGCCAGGCCTTTCGTGTCGGGCCGAGGATTCGTCATTCGTCTTCTTGCCTGTTCTTCCACCTGTTAGCGCTTGCGCGCTCGTCTGCAGCAGATGGCGATGACGACGACGAGCACCACGACCGCCACGCCACCTACCACGCCACCTACGATGGCGCCTGTGTTCGGGTACCGGCCGCTCGAGTTTGAGGGTCCTACACCTCCAGAGGCTGAAGATGGCGAGCCAAAGTTCTCGGCGGCAAAGATGCTCTTCAGCGAGGGCGAGTCGAACCCATCTTCAGGTTTGCGGCCTCTGTTTAACGACAGAAGTCGGCGGTGGATTAATAGGGATGGACACGGATGCGCCGCAATGGAGAGGAAGGAAGGAATGTCAGTCAGAACTCACTTGGCATCGTAATACACTTGTACAATCTTGGCTGGCGTCTACGTGTTTTTCTTGGACGACGACGGCGGCGTGTATAAACTCTTCCACGACAGGCTGCCCAGGTCAAAAATGGCCAATCCCTGCGCGAACGGGTTGGGAGTATTGAAAACGTCGGCGTAGCTGCCGCCGCTGCTGCTGTCGTTCTTGCTGCTGCTGCTGCTCTGCGTCATATCGACTCCCCCAATCGTCAGGATCTGTCCGCCCCCGACCGCGTGGCAGGTTAAGCCGTGCCGCGGGTGAAGGGCGGCGAAGTCGGCCTCGACCCAGTGGAAACCTGGCAGAGTGAGGACGAAGGCCTGGTCGTACGGGATGGCGGACGACCCGAGCTTGCCCGCCCATCCGGCGTACACGATGATCTCGTGCGTGCGGTTTGACGACCCGGCGCCGGCGAGGCAGAAATCCTTCCACGGCTCGGGCACGTTGCCTATCGTCTGCTGCTCATGCAATTTTTTGCTTTCCAGGTCGTATATTCGAACGTTCGTAAAGGGGGTCAGAGGGTCCGGTCCGCCCTCTAATTGGTCGTCTTGTTCGCCTCCCATGGAAACTAGAATCCCGCGGCGGCCGAAACTAGGAACAAAATCAACCCCCCGTCCTGCGCTGTTCCGTTGGTCGATACCTGGCCCGAGATCATGGTGTTGGTGACTTGTTTGGTGGAAAAGTCATACGCAACAAGCCCCTCGACGGGGGTTTTATGGACTGTGTCGTTGTCATTTCCAACGAAATATAGCAATACACCTAATCGGATTTTTTGGGGGGCGGGGGGGCTGCGAGGGATAGATACCTTGGCATGTTATATTTGGACATACCTCCCAAGAAGAATCCGGTACCACGGGTGCTGTATACTTGTCCTTTGAAGGCTCTCGGCCGGTTGGTGAAGATCGGGTCGACGGTCTCGTTCAGGCTCTGCCAGGAGCCGCCTCCGAGCCCGTCCGGCGTGAAAGACCAGAGACCCTGTGGGGAGGAGACGCTGTTTCTAAACTCGGATTTGGTACTAGCAAATCCGTTATATAGAATGTGTCTAATTTCGTCGACTTAGATACTGCCATTCTTTAGATTCGGTGCTCTCTTGGGCTTGGACGTCGAGTGTAGTCTCAACGATGTGTCGGTCCATGCCCAGGACAAGTTTATCGATATTAAAGCGTTTGCTGCCATTCTGTTAGCGAGATGAGATAGTAAGATGACAACATGGGCGGAAATATCTCAGTACTGGTACTCAATGGTACCACCTCCGCTAGAATACGAAAACTCCCCGCCGCTGATATACACCCATCCATCGAGGACAGCGGCTTCGGTGGTTTGGCATTTTTTGCAATGAATGTGTTGCTCAACACGGACTTACAAGAGTGGAATGCTCTCCTCAGAAAAACAGTTGCGCCAATGACGCTGTTGGCCTGTCGCGATGTGATGATTGGGGAAGAAAGGCTGACGGTACTGACACTCCCCGTTATGCACAAGAAAGACCTAAGAAGCGACGTGACGGCCTTCATGGGTGCGGTTCGTACAATATCGCCAAGTGCAAAGAGATGCGAATGGTCTTAGGAACGAAACAGCTTGGATGAGAGAGTACATGCTTTATCTGGACAGATTAGACATGTCTGTTGGGACGCGATATAGAGGGCAACCTCGCCGACACCCCATATCATCCATTCTGGAGGTTGTGGTTCGGCCATTGCCTAGGTCCATGTCAGGCCGGGCCAACGCTATAGATTCAGGAGTTTTTCCTACCGTGACACGAACAGAGAGGCAGGTGAAGACTAGTAATTTCCCACCGCAAGTCGTTGGACTTAGCGCAACGGAGTGAAGGCAAGATATCGAGCCATCGCCGTGACATGTATTGTGTCTATGAAGAAAAGCAGCCTATTTATTCATGGCCTCGAGGCTTTTGAAGAAATCAATGGGTGCTATGACTTCCGTGCCTGACATGAGGTCAGCGGCTGGCTACCACTGCCAACTCGGACAACCAACGGAAGTGTGAGATGGTTACGGGACGAGTCATGCTGGCAGGCTCGGATAGTTAGACCAACGCTTTCCTGTGGTAACAATCCACAGGAAATATAAGGAATATGCCAGAAAGAGTCAGGGATAAGCATGGGCAAAAGGAAGGTCAATAGCGAAGAAAATACAACGATGCTGATGTTGGGTTAGGTAGACTGACGACGCATCAGGTACAAGGTCAGCAGCTCAGAGCCTGGAGGCTGAAATGGCAGTCCCAAACAAACCTACATCTCCGTGACTACGAACCGCTATGCGCCACGAATGGGAGACATAAGCACTTCGTCCCTTTCGATCCGTATGAATTGAGGAAAGAGAGAATGGAAGGAAAAAGAAAAAAGAAACGGGCTCAATCGGGATTCGAACCCGAGACCTCGCACATGCTTATCTACTTGTTTCCAAGTAAGGGAATTCCAAAGAACCGCCCGAAGCGCGAATCATACCACTAGACCATTGAGCCGAACTTCGAATTTTACCAAATTGTTGGGAACCTAGGCCGCGTAAAAGCCATTATCGCGGTGACCGCCCTAGCCAGACAACTTCGAACTCTATTTTTGGACCACAAACACTTTTCGACCAAATGGTGGTTGATTGGGAATTTGGGATTAAATGGTTCGAAGTGATCTCCACAAGCCACTTACCAATTCGCTGCACCTGCAGATACCATGGAGTATGTATATCTGGATTGGACAATAAGTCGTGCAGGAGCACGATTTTGGCGCATGAGTTTTAGCGACGCAATTGAATGGAAGGGAAAAAACGAAAGTGAAAACTGCAATGGCGCGAGGGGAGCCTGACTTCATCATCACGCCGTCAATGCACTGAGCTGTGCTAAGTCTGGATTAGTCATCCTCATCCACAGGCACACGCCACTTCCTGGTTGGTGCGCGCTTGCCTCCCAACATGGAACTTGTCCTTTTGAATCAAGGAGGGGGACAACAAGCTCCATCCGAGCTTTGGCATCTTAGCTGCGACCTCACAAATGACAGTTTGCCAACAGCTCTCTGGCAACACAACAAGAGGGCGGCGGTATTTCCCTGTGGCAATTGCTCCATTAACTTTCTTATCTACTTAATCTACCCAAGGCTTCCTTGCCCCCAGCAGCGGTCAACGCCTCGGCCAGACATTGGAGATTTCCAAGTTCCAGCAACTACAAGCACAACAGCCGTTGCCTTGCAAGGTATGGCCCGCCACTTTTGCCCTTAGCTCACGCTTCGTGCCTCCGGGCTAATAACACCTTGCACATCGCAAACAGACAGGCTGTTCCGTTCCATTCATTCCACTGCTGGACCGCAGCTCTACAATAGCTCAGCAACTGTGTTGCGCATCATCACCTCGGTCATCCTGATCGACTCACGCCTGGCGACAACACCCCTCAGGCGCCCGGCGTAATGGATTCGTACGAGAGGCAAAAGGAGTCGTGGGGGCTTATTGAGGATCGCGATGGCGTCCGTCTCAGCTGGAATGTCTTTCCCAGCTCTCGCATGGTTGGTGGCCCTCCCCTCCAGTCACCGCAAATCGTGTTGGCCGAGATGTTGAACCTGTCTGTAGGAAGCTTCCCGGCTCGTGGTCCCTATTGGCGCGCTCTACACTCCTCTCAAGGAAAAGCCCGATGCTCCTCTGCTGCAATTTGAGCCCGTAACCTGCAAGCAGCCTTGCCGTTCCGTTCTGAACCCATACTGGTAAGGCACCCCGCCACGCTTTCTCGTACCCAAGGTCTGCTGCTGACGGCTCGCTAGCCAAGTCGACGTTCGAGCCCGTCTCTGGATCTGCCCCTTCTGCCTCTCGAGAAACCCTCTGCCGCCGCACTACAAGGATATCACGGCCAATGCGATCCCCCCCGAGCTTCACACCGCCAACACAACTATCGAGTACCGGCTGTCGCGACCGGCCCCGAGCCCGCCCATCTTCCTTTTCGTCGTTGACACGTGCCAGGAAGAGGACAGCTTGGCCTCTCTCAAGGAGTCTCTGATCATGAGCTTGAGCCTCCTGCCCGAGCACGCTCTTGTGGGCTTGATTACCTTTGGAACCATGGCCCAGGTTCACGAGATTGGATACACCGAGTGTGCCAAGTCGTATGTCTTCAGGGGCAGCAAGGAGTATACGGCAAAGCAGGTCCAGGAGATGCTTGCTCTTACCCAGCCAGCCATGCGCCCCGGGATGCCTCCTCAGCAGCCGGGACGGCCGTTGCCCATGGGCCCCGCCTCGCGGTTTCTCCTCCCGGTTGCGCAGGCCGAGTTCCAGCTCACCAAGGCTCTTGAGCAACTTCAAAAGGATCCTTGGCCGGTTTCCAGTGACCGCAGAAACCTGCGCTGTACCGGCGTTGCGCTCTCCGTTGCCGTCGGCTTGTTGGAGACTTCGTTCCAGAACGCTGGAGGACGCATCATGCTGTTTGCTGGCGGCCCTGCCACGGAGGGACCTGGCATGGTCGTTGGGCCCGAGTTGAAAGAGCCCATCCGATCACATCACGATATTGATCGTGACAACATCAAGTATTATAAGAAGGCATTGAAGGTGAGACCTGTGCATTGGATGGAGCCGTAAAAGCCGTGCTGACTGCCGTATAGTTTTACGATAATCTCGCAAAGAGAACTGCTCACAACGGCCACACCATCGACATCTTTGCTGGCTGTCTCGATCAAGTTGGTCTTTTGGAAATGAAGGGTCTATGCAACTCAACTGGTGGCCACATGATCTTGACCGACAGCTTCACTTCGTCCATGTTCAAGCAGTCTTTCATTCGGATCTTTGAGAAGGACGGAGACGACAACCTGCTGATGGGGTTCAACGCCGTGCTGGAAGTTCTGACGACTAAGGAACTGAAGGTTACCGGTCTCATCGGACACGCCGTATCTCTGAACAAGAAGTCAACTTCGGTGGGCGAAACTGAGTGTGGTATTGGCAACACTTGCTCCTGGAAAATGTGCGGAATCGACCCCAGCGCTAGCTATGGAATCTACTTCGAGATTGCGAACCAAGGCGGCCCGACCCAGCACCAGCAAGCACCTCAGCAAGGCATGATGCAGTTCCTGACCTACTATCAGCATTCCTCCGGCCAGTTCCACCTTCGCGTGACGACTATCGCGCGGCCGCTCAGTGGTCCGGCTGGCGATCCTGCCATCGCACAATCTTTTGATCAGGAAGCAGCCGCCGTGCTTATGTCACGAATTGCTGTCTTCAAGGCCGAGGTCGACGACGGCCCCGATGTCCTTCGTTGGGTCGACAGGATGCTCATCAGACTCTGTTCGAGATTTGCTGACTACCGCAAGGACGACCCGTCGTCTTTCCGTCTCGAAAAGAACTTCACACTCTATCCGCAATTCATGTTCCACTTGCGAAGAAGTCAGTTTTTGCAAGTTTTCAATAACTCTCCGGATGAAACCGCGTTCTATCGACACGTCCTCAATCATGAAGATGTCAGCAATTCCCTTGTTTGTATCCAGCCGACTCTCGACGCGTATACATTCGACAACATCGAAGGCCAACCAGTCCTTCTGGACTCCAGCTCCATCCAGCCCACCTCTATCCTCCTACTGGATAGTTTCTTCCATATTTTGATCTTCTCGGGTGAGACGATTGCAGAGTGGAGGAAAGCAGGGTATGTGGAATTCCATCCATGGGTCCTCTTTGGTAAACATGATTTACATATGCTTACCACTCGAACAACAGGTACCACGACCAAGAGGGCTACGAGAACTTCGCCGCCCTCCTTGAGCGTCCCAAGGAAGATGCCCGAGACCTTATCACAGACCGCTTCCCTCTCCCCCGGTTCATCGTCTGTGATCAGGGTGGCTCTCAGGCCCGGTTTTTGTTGTCAAAGGTACGTCTGGTAAACTTCGACTCGTCCTTGAGCTCCAGCTAAAACATAAAAACAGTTAAACCCGAGCACGACGCACACCTCAGGCGCCGGCGCGTACGGTGGCGTTGGAGCTCAAAGCGCCCAGACGATCTTCACAGACGACGTTTCTTTGCAAACGTTTATGGAGCATCTGATGAAGCTGGCGGTAAGTGGCACGAACTAGAAGTGCAGGCGTGGGAAGATGTGAATGGGATGGGGTTTGGTTGTGGCATGAGCGCAGATTCAGACAACCGCCTATGGTTGTTCTGCGGTCCTCGGAGATGGCTTTGTGATTGTCTAGCGTTACTGTTATGGGAATTCATATCATCGGAGAAATAGAATTTCAAGAACGAACTTGGCTCATCTCATGCCTCGAGATATGCATTGCAGGTGAATGGAGGTCCCAGCTCCTCCGCATTGTGGCTCAGAACAAACTGTGGCTGCTCATGCCCCACACCCCCTGCCCGTAGTGCCCCGCCAGAAAAAATTCAGCCACATCCCGCGAAATCCTTAGGGCAGGCGTGGTGGTATCCCACAATTGCGATTTTTTTCCTGAATTCGTTGTCTTGATCCTCGGCACGGCTGCACTTTTGACACCAACACCATCCAAGTGCATCTTGACATAACCAGCCGTCACCATGCGTAGGTCATCTCTATGGACTTCTTTTGAATTGACTGGAAATGGCTAATTTTTTTCGCCGTCCATAGCTCCCAAAGTCGACCCCAATGAGATCAAGATCATGTAGGGAATTTAATCCATGACGAGCGGCTCCGAGTTCGCCGGCGGCCCCAGACAGAACAGACCACTGACGATTTCGCAGCCACCTCCGGGCCACCGGTGGTGAGGTCGGCGCCTCGTCCGCGCTTGCCCCCAAGATCGGTCCTCTAGGTCTCTCGCCCAAGAAAGTCGGTGAAGATATTGCGAAGGCCACTGGTGACTGGGTATGCAGCAACCCCCGCCATTGAAAGCACCGAATTTACGAATAGGCACCCGAATGCGATTCTGACTCGAGTTTGTTTTATAGAAGGGTCTCCGTGTGACCGTCCGTCTCACCATCCAGAACCGTCAAGCCGCCGTCTCCGTCGTCCCGACCGCCTCTTCACTCATCATCCGCGCCCTCAAGGAGCCCCCCCGTGACCGCAAGAAGGAGAAGAACATCAAGCACAGCAAGTCCGTCTCTCTCGACGAGATCATCGAGATTGCGAGGACACTCCAGTTCAAGTCCTTCTCCAAGAGCCTCGAGGGTGGCGTCAAGGAGGTTCTGGGAACTGCTTTCAGCGTCGGATGCCAGGTAGATGGCAAGAGCCCCAAGGCTATCAGCGATGCGATTGCAGCCGGCGAGATCGAGAGTATGTGGAACCCCGCTCCATTGAATTCCCCTCTATCTGCAGTGCATTCCTTCCCAGCAGCCTGCGGTTTCTAGAGCTTTCCTTTACTCGTAATGTTTGCTGACCGGGATCTCGCAACAGTTCCTTCGGAGTAAATTCCACGAGACTCTCGATACTCAACCAACAACAAACATGAAGGTCAATTTGGGATTCTTGGCATGTGATTAGGAGTTCAGGGCTTTCTTTCAATCAGGCTTGCCAGCCAGGCTACAGAGACCACGGCAAACAAATCA